TTGATCATACATTAGAATTGAGGTAACGATTCATTATTAATGATTCTCGTGCTTCCTTTTCCACGAATATTTTATTCAAGACTCAATCCACGGAGTTTACACAAACTTGAGTGCCCAAACATCATCTGCCTTGTATACTATTAATCCCAGACGTCCTTTGAAATGGCTTTTTTTTAGGCCGTCTCACGCACCGTTAGTCTCATTCACGTGATTCAAAAAAGGTGATCACATGGTGACAAACAATTGTTGGCGTGGATGGCCAAAATTTGCAGCACAGCGTTTGCAAATTCCTCAAAATTTCCAAGTTCAAGGTAAATCTTATCCATGCGATGGATTTTGCATCCATTGAACTCTTCTCTGTAACTTATCCTGGATTGCATCTTGTTAGAAAGTGCGAAACTCGACCGAAAACTTACAAACAAACTGTGATCATGAATTCGTCATCACGCGGTCGCTTTTTTTGAATTACGTGAATGAAGCCATTTCAAAGGACGTCTGGATCGTGTTTTTATTTAAAGGAGCTCAGTCACGGCATTTTGAGGTATTTGTGCCATGTACAAAATTGCCTTTAAACTGACGGAAACCTGGAAATAATCTCTTTAACTAAGATACAAAGACACTAAAGAGATAATAATTAACGAAGGAAAAAGGATGGTTAAAGATGGAGAAGAATGACACGGATTACAGAGCACGAACCTGGGCTAAGCTTTTCAGGATACGCTGACAAACCGTGACGAGGCTCCTTTAACATTTGAAAATGATAGTTCTCTCCTCTCATTGTCGTGTGTTCGTGCAGGTCTATCAGCATTAGCTGTTCGAAGTTGCTTGGGCTTTTACATGACAATAATGATTAAGTTGCCTAGTTCACTGTTGGTGCTTAAAATCGCCCATGTCTTACGTTTCCAAGGCACTTTCGGAGTTTACACCTGTTTCGAAACACATGGGCAATGTTATATAAGTCTCTCTTTATTTTTCTTTTCGAACTTAAAACAGCTCCTTATAAACAGATGGATTGAGGTGCAACGAAACAACTAATTTTTATTCTTATTAAAATTACAATTTACTCCACATCATATTTTCTTCTTATTGAGAATTCATGTGAATGACGCAGAAGTTCTAATTGACCATTATCATAATAAAGATTTCAAAAGGTCTTCTCCAATTCTTTAGTCAAGCTAATTCCCACGATTGTTTAGTCGTTCATCATTACCAATGAAGTTGCTTCGATCAAACTTGTGTGTATTTTAGGACACCAGCACTATCCGTTATAGCATTTCAATTATCTGTCAGTTGTCTTATCAACAGGAACAGGAACAGGGCCACCTGCTTTGCATTAATACTGCAATGAAATTTATACTCGCTTGAATATGGAAGACTACCTACAAATGTTTAAGTAAACCGCAAAGTTTTAACTTAATCCGCCAACTTAAAGCGGTTGAGCTAAGAATTCAAAGCGAGTCACATGCGGTCGGTCAGTATTACGCCATTTTTTTCTAAATTCAAGGTAAGGCCTCATTTTTTCAACTACAAATTTAAATTTAATTTTGTTGTTAGTTCCTAACGAATGGATACGTGTGCTTGCTGAAAATAAACTTGCTTTTAAACATCCACGAAAGCTTTGCACACCTTTTAACAGGGGAACTTTAATTGCGTTGTGAGTTTATTCAAAACAAACCCGTATTTGTTCGCAGAATATATGCGCGCGGCAGGGTTTTTTTCTAATGGTATTCCGACACTGTGTTATTTTTGATATGCAACCTGCGAGGTATATCTCAAAGATGGACGAAGGTTCTTCAATTTTGTTGCGAATGCTGTGCTCGACCTTGCGTTAATTCAGTATTTTCAGAGAAAGTATTGAGCCTTTCCAAGGCTTACTTTCACGACGAGTTACCAGTTGGGATAAACAGAGACGGCTGGAGATGTTTAATACAGCTGTGCGTAGGTTTTCATTTGCCGTGCACTCTCAAATTTACGGGAGTGATTAACATTTTGAGTCTCCTTACGTAAAAGATTGGTAACAAGTGGACGCAATGCTGTCAACAAAATCATCAAGCAAGGGGATATTAACGGTGTTGATGTATCGGTAAATTCTCAGAACGAACATTAAGATATATAGATGCATGGAAAGAGAAAGGGGATTTTGTATGCCAAACTTCATACTGAAGGACTTTGAAACCCTCAATTAAAGTCGGTCGCAAACCGGCAGCAGAAGTTGGTTTCTAGAAGTGTTGCTGTTCCTTTATTTTTCGGTAAAGTTCAGTTTAAATCAGTGGTTCGTAGACAGTACAGTATTCCTGGTACCTTTCTTATAAAAAAAGTAGTTGTGCTGCTGTTGTCTGATGAACTGATCCTATTGCTTCTTGCAGGTCCTAACTGTTTTTCGTCGAAGTCAACAAGAATCTCGAAAGCGTTTTCGAAAATGGCGCAATCGAGAGGCCTACTCCTGTTAATAGTTTTGGTGTCTCCAACAACTGGGCAGTTTTCTCTACCATTTCTTTACATGCCCTTAAAGCGTCTCTTTCCACTCGACCTTGCAGATGGGGCGAAATATGAGAAAGTCACCACTGAACACACAAGGGTTCTTAGTGGTTGGTCTTTGGAAAAAGCATACTCTGAAACTATGGCAAATATTTTCAATCAATTACGATTTACTGCTTTTCCTACATTGGATTTCACTGACGCAGATCTGGTAGACTTAAACTATCAATGGTCTTATGAGATTCCGTCTGATAATGTCAACAGCTCTTTTGAAGCCCAGCGCAACGTTTTGACACCAGCGGATTACCAGGAGGAACTTTTAAAGCTCACCGGTGAAAAATTCCACTTCACTGTAAATAAGGTCGCATCAAGACTGGGAATTCCGGCCACCAATCTTTCCAATTCCTACGACCCAGGCGACTGGGAGACTGTTGTTCATGCGATGATTGAGGAGAGCACTCCGGCATTCAGAAAAATGCTTCAGCTTCCCTCGTTGGATTCCTTGGCACAACTGGTGCAGAAAGAGACCCAGGAACTTCTTAATGTCAGCCTCAGCACTTTCGAGGGCCTAGTATTTCCTTTCCTTCAGAAAAAATATATTCTCGACACAAACAAAACATCCCTGATTTTTAATTCATCCGGTGTCGCAGACGATTCCTATGCCGACAGTACGCTAACAAGAGCCTTAGAAAATGCAGAAATTAATCTTTCTCTTCAGCAATTTGCCATTTTGTACAACAAAAGTGACGAACAAGCCAAGACAATCGATCGAACGACGTTGAATCAGATTTATCATATATGTGACATTCCAGTCGAAAGTATCTTAAACATGACTCTGCCCGAGGCGTCTGGAAAAGTTGTTGGATCAGTAAACCAATTGCCACCGTGCCCAGTGTTGATAAACATTAAGGGAAAACCTGTTTCGTCTTTTCAAAGCGACTCTGTGGTGATCACTGAAGATATGACTGTGTTGGAAATTATTTTCGCGGTGAGCAGCCTTCCATGGCGTACAGTCCATTGGGCTTTAGATGCCTCATTGTCTGAATGGGAATATTTGGACGCTGTTACATTACCACAACTTGCTGAAATTGCTGGACATGAAGTAGAAAGTTTGCGTAACGAGTCCGTGAGCGAGTCAGTCAAAGTTATCTTTTCCCTCAGGGAAAATAACACTCTAGACAACAAAACGGAGACCTATCGTGTGTTCATTAAAGGTGTACTAAAGGAGGCATTCAATTTGTCACTAAATGAAGTGGCCATTTTGAACGAAGTACCTGAAGGCTCACTTCAAAATGTCTCGTCGACTGTTTTGTTCAGAAGCTTTCTTAATGCCACTGTCATCCACTTCAAACTAAATTTAAGTGAAATCATTACTGCTGCACAGATGACTGAGGAACAATTGTTCAGCTTACCAAGACAAGAATGGAATAACACGATATCTGTCATCGTTGATGCTATGGTAACGATGGAGGCCGCCAAGCTACAAATGCCCACCCAAAAATTGCTTCAGTTGTTAAATGTTACCTCTGATGAGTTGTCTATCACTCAGTTGAAGGAGTT